CTATTGCTGCAAACGATAAGTGCCATACACTCAAAGCAAGATACACAGAATTACGAACGAGCCTACCTCAGGAAAAAGGGCAGAATGAAGTAAGACACGAATTTCACAAGCATATTGTTGTGACGATAAAGGGTTCCAGGTACCACTCCAGGATGCATAGTTGCAATGCGTTGTGGCCTGAAAGAGTCAACACTTGAACAGCAAACACGCAATGCTTCATCAAAAAATAGTATAAAGCGAACCGATGCTGAGACAACTGTTCGATATACACTGAGAGAACTAGCTTCGACAAGCAGTATGCTTGGTAGGGGCCAACGTAGTAAGAGAGGAGATCTGCAAAAGCGTCCCATAGGGAAAAACTAAGTAGTACTTTCATTCATGATGAGCGCAGAGGTCATGATGATTTCCTGCTTCAACCATAACGGACGGCGTGTGCCACATGGTGGTGCACGCGCCCATTTTTGTTTTCTTGTATATTTATGACTATCGTTGAATACGCGGCTGTGATATACACTGCGTCCCATAATTATACGTCCACCTAAGAATTTCCCAAAATCTCAGAAATACAGATGTTACGAAAAAAGTCTCCTATGTGACAATGTATCGCATATAAATACGCAATTGCCTATGAACATCAATTTTCTATTTGAGATCACAGGAATTTTTCCCAATAATTTTTGTGTAAAAGGCCACTCAGCCGACGTCCCAAAATTATACGTCCACCTCACGTTTATCGATTACTTTTCACTTCTGTTCCACGAAACTTTTTCATTGTGGTAACACTTCACTTCTTAAGAGGAACAGCATAATAAAGACTGCTGTTGGATTTTGAGAAAGGGAAAATGTCGCAAAAACTGTTGAACAACGGAACCGCACCAGATTTGGTCCAGATTCACGCCAAGCTTGAGAATTTTTTCAGGGGTTTCACATGATATGGAGCTTAGAAGAGCTCTAAAAGTCTCTCATTACTTTTCGATGGAAACAAAGGCCGGTATACATCCAACGGTGCTCTGTCATCGAATCTTCTTGAGAACTTTATGCCTCAACAGACTTTTGTTTCATGCATGTAAAGGAATCCCAAGATCGTTCTTGATCGGAAAATGTGAAAGACGTTCATTTGTGGCAAGGAATCGTGACGAAAACTGGGCTGATTTTTGCATGAAGGTTTATAGCCGTTCGTATTTCTCCTCCGCATCTCGCCTCGTTCGAGGCCAACTCCGCCTTCGATGACGTGCAATTATGGTCTGTAGTGTAGCTAGAGCCCATGCGTATCTCTTCGTTTTTCCTTCTATGCATGAGTGTTTTGTTCTCCGGCTCCGTCTTTTCTAAGATGTCTTTTCTAGTCCTTTCTTTCTTTTAGTAGTGCTCCTCTAAGAAAAAAGCTATCTTAAGGGAAAGGTAGACGTGAGAAGAAACAAACAAATGCCAAAACATATCGGGCAGAAGCGAACCTTACTTCAGTCGGCTCGGCTGCACCTTCATGCAAAAATCAGCCCAGTTTTCGCCACGATTCCTTGCCACAAATGAACGTCTTTCACATTTTCCGATCAAGAACGATCTTGGGATTCCTTTACATGCATGAAACAAAAGTCTGTTGAGGCATAAAGTTCTCAAGAAGATTCGATGACAGAGCACCGTTGGATGATGGATGTACCGCCTTTGTTTCCATCGAAAAGTAATGAGAGACTTTTAGAGCTCTTCTAAGCTCCATATCATGTGAAACCCCTGAAAAAATTCTCAAGCTTGGCGTGAATCTGGACCAAATCTGGTGCGGTTGCCGTTGTTCAACAGTTTTTGCGACATTTTCCCTTTCTCAAAATCCAACAGCAGTCTTTATTATGCTGTTCTCTTAAGAAGTGAAGTGTTACCACAATGAAAAAGTTTCGTGGAACAGAAGTGAAAAGTAATCGATAAACGTGAGGTGGACGTATAATTTTGGGACGTCGGCTGAGTGGCCTTTTACACAAAAATTATTGGGAAAAATTCCTGTGATCTCAAATAGAAAATTGATGTTCATAGGCAATTGCGTATTTATATGCGATACATTGTCACATAGGAGACTTTTTTCGTAAACATCTGTATTTCTGAGATTTTGGGAAATTCTTAGGTGGACGTATAATTATGGGACGCAGTGTTACTCTCAGCAATGTGGAATAACATATCTTCCCAGGACCTGGACGGCTGGATTTTTGACAAACCTACAATAAATTTTACATACATTTTGTCTTAATTTACATAAGTTTACTATTTGATGGGTGGCTTACCCATGGTTCGCACGTCCCGAGACCCCTTCCCCTAAATATAGCCACATCCTTGCTCGGGGTTGTTGTTTCGCATTTTTCGATAATGTCACCTACAGCTTCCATTCATTCTTTGCACCCTAGTTTTAGAGCGGAAAGGCGGGTTACGAACTTGTCGTCAACGGAAATCTCTTCTTTTGGATGATGAGACACGGACACCTACTTTAGCCCCGTCTTAACCCTGCTGTTCGCATAAGCCTACATAAACCCTACCCTGTGTGGCGGCGTGCGCCACATGGTGGCGCACGCGAATGCACTGCCTGTCGTTTGGGTGTGCAAAAAATGACAGAGCTTTTCAAGCAAAGCGGAATCAAAGCGGCGGGATACGGTGGATGCTGTTAAACGCGTTTTGGAACATAGAATTTCGAATGGGTAAGGACTCTTCCAAAGGGTTTTTGATACGACATATTCGTCCGTTATTTGGTTTTCGTATTCGTTTAGTTCGTTTATTCATTTATTGTATTTCGGTTTATTGATTATGCGATCGTTCCGCCTAATATCCCAGCTTTCGCGAGAGATTAGGCAGGGCCTGAAAGTACGTGAACTGTGTTCCTTTTTGTTTTACCCTTCGCCGCCTCCCCCCCCCACAAAGAAGATCGCTATACACGCTATTAGCATGGGACGAATTATCCACCACACGCCTCCCCCACCTTCACTGAAATAGACCTTACGGTGGTTCAACACAAGAGAATGAAAGGAGGAGTATGCGGTTAACACCCTCTGCAAAAGGTTAGCAAACAGCATACTTACTGTAAGACACAAAACTCCACATCCCTCCCAAAGCTGAGAAGGAACAGCTAGATGACGTCGCCTCGAAGAAGGCTCTCAGGTGCAGGAGGATAATAAGTACATGCTTTTGAAAATTGCAGGATTGGGAATGCAGGTATTGGGTCAGATCCAACTGCTATAAACAAATGTTTCAAAAATTTAGTGATCTCTATTCCAGATGAAAAGGAAGGATCTTGCGAAGAACAACAGATCGAAAATAACCACCTCCTTGCAACATAGAGCTCGTGTAGTGAGATACGGTTGCAGTTGATGAGCTCAGAAATAGTATCCTTGCATCGCGTGCCAGCAATGGTTTTAACAGATTCAAAAGTAAGGCTTGCGAAACCACGTTGACGCACATATGACGTTCGACGTCGCCAATAAACTGAATAGAACTCATAACAATGAATCCAAACTGTGACTTAAGTACCAATATTCTTATAACTACACTATTTATTCTCTAAAACCCAATGCAGGTCAAAGTTTTTCAGTCACAGAGTACGAACATGTTTTAACTCCCTTTTACGTTCTAATATGTTCCCACTGAAGTATTCAACCTTCGAAAAAGCACGTTGGCGAGTTTATATGACCTCACGTGTTTGGTTGAATTTACTTTGTTTTGTTTTGTGTTGAGTTTTTACTGTGTTCACGAGCACAACATAAAAATACTATGGAACACCTTTGGAAGGATATCACAACAAAAAAACTGGAGGGAAGGGCCAGCCAGGAAGAACTATGCTGAGATAAGGAAGAGCCAGAAAGAAATGAAAAATCATTGAAGGAAGAAGTCAAGTAACATGTGCTTAACACGTTGACGACAGCATGACGCGCATGTGCGTCAGAATTTTGCCCAATTCTGGCCAGCCTTTTTCGATTTATTTGGCATAGTGGGCACATTTCAGTTTTACCCTTCCATCCCTCCGGGGTCGGTTAATTGGTACCAGACTTGTCTGGGAGGATAAAAACACTGACTTGTACATCGGCTGGCCCCCGCAAGTCATTGTATAGGCCACATCGCATTCAAACGCCACTGCGAATGTACAAATGGAAGTAGAATGCGTGCCGCATCCCAAAAAGGGATTGATCAACGGCAAATGCTTTATCCTTTATCCTTTTTTCATATTTCAAAATTGTGTGCATGCATGATCTTATCCGAAAAACTGTACATCAATTACCAGTAGTGGAATTATTGAAGAAGTTATGACGATTGTGGAAAAAAAAAACAGAAAACGTGCCGAGGTACACGCACAAGGGGCTGTCGTCAACGCGAGGGAAAGTACGCTAGCGGGCTTTTATTGCCATCAGGGTGTTGAACTAAAGGGTGAGTCAAGACGACGGTGGCAGCACCAAGACGCACGGGAAGTGCAGTTGAAGAGATGGGCGTGATGTGCAGAGGGCGCGATAGTGTCTAAGCACAAACATACAACGATATCCAGTTGCTGCAACACACGCGAATTGCACGGTTACGGAGTGGCTGTCAAAAGCAATGTTTCAATGCAGAAAAAGTGAATAATACATCAAATTTATCATTTAATTAAATTGGCCGGGCGAAGGCGATGTAGTGACTTGTGAAGGTGCTTATCATGCGTCCACGCTCCGAGGATGTAATTTATATCGTACGTCATTGGCCGATGTCAGACTTTGCATTTGCACATTGCAGGAGGACGATTCGCGGGGAGCGATGCGAGCGCGACGGGAGATTTACACCGCCGACCACCGATAATTCGGCGCCATCAGTTCGTAAATCTCCGTCGCTCGCATCGCTCAAGCGATCCGTCGCTCCTGCAATTGGTGCAAAATCGCTCCAATCGCAAAGTCTGACATCGGCCATTAGGCAAACTCTTTATCAATTTGAAGTCGGTAAATTAGTACCAGACTTGTCTGGAAAGGTAAAAAGTACTGCACCCGAAGTCCTCTTACAGGGTAATTGCGTACAAAATGTTTCTACCATTCTCGTTAAAGTATTCGCTGTATTCCCACGAAAAGGATGGTGAAAAGAACATTGTGACTACTAAGATGTCACCGAAGACGATTTAGTTTGCGCGCGCACGGAAAAGGAGCGCCAAGTCCAGCAGGATGGGTTGGGTCAAGTCTTGGAATTGCATAAATTATGCCTGATTCCACGCCACGAGAAATTTCGACCGATAACATCGAGCGAAAGTTGCTCTCGTAATAATACAGAGAAATCGGAACATACTTTCTACTCAGCCAGCAACGTGGCCGCGCCACAAGGCCCACCACACTGATCTCGCCCACACCTGTTAATGAAATCCTCTTGCAAACTTAGCTACCTAAAAAAATCAAGGTTACCAAATAAAAAATTCACAATTGAGTTAGAAGCTCTTCTTTCTACCTCATGAGGGTCTGCGAAGTCGACCTCATAAAGTGTCAGTGGCATTCGGGATCCGTTTAGAGATTCGAACAATACATTCGCTTTCGCACGATTCCCAACAATGCGGTAACAGGTGAAGCGCATGTGGCAGTAAGGAATCTTGGACTTAACCACCTGAAAATTGATCTATTCAAAGACTGAATCAATGAGAATAAACGTGCTGCTTTGAAAAAGTCACTCCATAGTAAATTTCACCAGACAGAACGTGCTCTTGCCAGATCGCGAAGCCGTAGGATCGCAAGGCGCAGGCCAGGCGACGCGATCCTTGAGGTCGAGTGCTATACATTCGCGATTAGGCAAAGGCAAGAGCACGGGGTTTTTGTTGGCGGGGGAAGTTTTTCGACGGGCAAACTGTGCCTTACCTCGCTATCTTACTTCTTGCCGTTTCTGCTCTTTTTCTTTGCACTACTTCAACTTATCATGAGTTGAGTTTTGAGGGTTTTCGAAGGAAGTAGATATATCCTCTACTTCTGAAAACGACAAGGTCGCTGATTTGCAGGCCATCACCACAAGTGAAACGACTGCCGAGAATTTTTTCTCGTCCACTGTCACTTGTGGCATACGATCTACACTTGAAAGATTTCCTGAGTATCCGAAATAGAGGTACGGTGGTATCTTCGTTGAAAGGGGGGGGGACCACGCGGCGGCGCGGCGCTTGTCTCGTCTTCCTCTGCAAGGCTTAGTCCTTCGATGGAGCGTATTTTGAAACTGCCACGTGATGGCGAAATAGTAACTGCCCTGGAATAAGCCTTTGGAGGAGCAGATGAACAAAGCGTCGCCCGCCGCCCCCCCCCCCCAAACTAAGATAGCATCGAGGGTACGCGGTATCGGAACTATTAATACATGACCTAAAGCGGCATCCCAATGCAAATGGCTATGTGTGGGTACGCACTGAACCGAAAGGGAACTGCAACGTAGCTACAAGAATATGATCGCGACGTAATACTATTTCCTTACCCAAATGAAGCATAAAGTTCCTAGTTCCTTCAATGAGAATTATTCTCTACAAAGCGCCGCAAGCTTTTCAAAAACGATAATCGAGGTGGGTACAAATCAGCAGCAACAGACGAAATTCACCTCTCGTCCAATCGTGCCATCGGCTCCAGTGATGAAAACACGCTTGTTGCGAGCGGATCTTATAGCACGAGACTTCCGGATCTCATTTTCGAGACGTTTTTTGATTCCTTGATTCGCTGCCTTGGGAAGCAAAGCAATTTCACCAATGATAAAGGCCGATGTCAGACTTTGCGAATCGCGCGATTCGCTAGCGTCTGCGGTCGCGTCGCGGCCAGTGAATCACTCAATTGGCTGGTACCGCAACGCGACCGCGGACGCTAGCGAATCGCGCGATTCGCAAAGTCTGACATCGGCCAAAACAAGAAAGGTGCAGTCCTTAAAGCACCTCGAACAGCAACTCTTTCAAAGCACAATAAGCAGCCAACATATAGACACGGAACATAACAAGCAGCTCAATCCATACGCCTGGTAGAAAGGCCATTCCACAATTTAAGATGTAGAGCATTTTTTTCGTCCGACTGAAAAGTCCTTTCAAAACCTGGAAACGCCGTATTGTATCATTGACGTGTTACGCAGCAACCAAGCAGTAAGTCAAATTCTTACCACATTCGACAAGGGCGACGAGTTTTTGAGCACAGGGTACGGAGATATGGGCCAACATAAAGATAAACGTAATTTACAAACATTTGTCTGCAAAGGTGCCACACCGTGCGCCGCGCTACAGTAGGACTGAATAATTCGCCTCGACCTTCACGAATTTCGTTGAAGCAATTGTTCGTTCCTTCGACACAATTCTTTCGTGATGGAAGGAGCACTGCCCCCACTGGAATCGGGGAAGTTTATCATGGAGAACGCCAGGCACATAACAGTCAATGAGAAAGGAGTATTACGCGTTGCAAACATGGTGAGTTTTTGGTGTAATGTCTTTTTCTTCCACAATTTACGCTGGTTCTAGTAGCCTCGTTCTGCCCTTTGACTGTTCAACACATCGAATTTAACTATGAGATTTTTTGCTGCTGAACAGATTTAGGCAAGAATAGCGCCTCCTATGGCCATTGTAAACTTCCTGTCACCGAGTTCGAATCCTAAGCTAAAAAAAATAGATCCTTCTGATGCTCTCCCTATCGGTTCTATAGAGAACTTTCCATCCGTTGGGTCATATGTCGGCTGAAAGGGAAGAAAGAAACAGAACTGTAGCTGTTTTGTGAAGTAACCTCTACATTTTTTGGTTCTGTCACAACTATTGGTAAATCCTCACTCGGCGACAATTGTCGCAGTTATTGTAAAGGCCCTAAGTCTGAATTTCATTTACATTCAGATCCTTGATGCGGTGAAGGATGGTTCAATGGCTGAAGTGGAGTTTTCTGCACAGGCAGTTCATCCCAAGGGCAAGGGAAAAGCAGCTATAGATTGGTGAGCCTGGTCACGTAATGCTTTTGTGCTCCTCTGAAATTCATAATCTTAATTGTATTTTAGGGTTTTCTTCGCTGACACTGTCAACTTTTCGTTTTGGCCTGATCGCGGATCCAAATACGACGTGACTTATGAAGGAACCAAATATACGGGATATTTTGCGGCATGTGCTGCCATCAACAAAGTGAGATAGTTCTTGTGGATAGCTCTTGATGTACCTCTGAATCTATTGCAACGTACCGAGAAAAATCAAGGCATTAGAATCGGGACTAAACATCACATCAGCAGAATGGATGGCAAGGGCTAACGAGGCGGAAGTGGACAAGATTTTCAAGTCTGACAGCGGTAGGTGTCTGTTCTTTACTTTTAAGTCTTGAAATTAAAGGAATCACTCTCTCCCTGTTCATAATCATATCCCGTTTTTTAGGTTACTCTATACCATTGCTCGCAGAAAGGGTTAAGGCTATCAACGAGTCTGGAAGAGTGCTCCTTGAGGTGAGGTTCCAAAATTCAGATGACCAGCTGATGGAATGTGATACGTCTTGAATAGATACATGAGACGCAGGGATTCTTTAAATAAGGACAGGCTTCCTCCCCCGTACTTGACCTTCTTTTTTGAATGTTCTGAAGAGAAATGGTGTAGTCTGAGATAGTTTCAACCCTTTGACGGCTGCCGTTCTGCCTGTGTCACTTCATCTCTTTTTGAATTTTTCATCAGTCATTAACTCTCCAACAATTTCATTATTAATAATTAGCGCATTATTCCGCGGAATTCGATAATGTATTTGTGTAGTTTTGAAACATAAAAAATGCCAAATAAACCTTGAAAAACGAGTCGCTTTCGAGTTAGTGTGGCACCGGCGGGCTACACGGGCGTCAAAGGGATATATTCTGGAAACAGCAGTCGCTTGTATGGCAGCGCTTTTGTTTCATGTCTTTCCGAACGTTAATGTAATTAGCAATCTTGCCTTAGTTCGTTGTTTATTTGAATTTTTCCCCTTTTTTTCAGAAGTGGAATGGCTCCTTCTATAACTGCGTTGTTGCAGCAGGAAAAAGCGCGATCAAGCTGCTCAATATAATTGTGGACAATTTCGAGTCATTTAGAGACTTTGCCGTATTCAATGGCAAGAAAGGTAATCAATTTTGTCCTATTCCATTGAGAGTTGAAGCTTGTTTATCGGAAGCGATTCCAGTTTCGTGTATACCTGATCCTTTACAGTTTCCTTTTTGAAACGCGCACAAATTTTGGTAGCGGATGTGTACGGCGCACTAGATGGAGACGATCCCGTTTGCGATTTCGAAGACATAGGGCTAGTTTCAAGGAGTTCTCGTGGTCTGTGCTGCTGATCATGTTCCGTTTTTTAGGAGTCTAACAATGTTCGCCGATTATCGTGTGCCACAAGCCCTGGCTTATCTTGGTGCGTTAGAGTACTCCCCTGAATTGATCAAGCTGTTGAAATCTGGTGAAATTCTCCCAAACGGAAGCGCAGAAGAAGTGGAATTGCGTGGAGCATCTATATGGGTGTGCGAGGTATGGTACTCAGTATTACTTAGTTCTGTTCAGAGGTGCAAAAGTACACCAAAGTTGTTTGTTGGGAAGGGGGTGAGAAATATGTGCTGAGATTTCGAGATTATCACTTAAACTTTGACGACGTAACAATGGTCGTTCCCTATTTGAAACTTCGAATTTGTTTGGTATCAATATTCTGAACTGGAAGACAGAATTCACCATATTCGGTCTCCATTCGAGTTCTCTTCAGACAACAAACTTCGCTGTGCTGTTGTTATAGAACGGTTTAAAGCGGACTACCGTAGCAAATATCTATCACGGGCTTACCTCTTCATTCATGCGAGTCTGAAAAAAGAATAGGCTTTTTAGCCATCAGGAGATTTTCCGTAAAAGAAGGGATTGACGTTCTGGCGGGGAACTTGATGAACATCTATTTTGTTTTAGGCCTTTCTGTTAGATTTTTTACGAACGGTCCTTTGATTTGCACTCTGCATTTTTCAGCCGTATCGTTCATATACATAGTGCCATTAACAGTTCTTTTTGCAGAGAATTGTGTCAGCTATCGAAAAGTTGCGTGTCATGGAAGCTGGCGACATCAGGCCAATTCACGCTATAGATGTGGACATTTTCGCATGGGTTTATCGACGTAAGCATGCGGTCGAAATTGAGAAAGCGGTTGGTGTTTTTTCTTGATTCATTTTACAATAGCCATATGAGTGTCCTTATTTCTGTAGAAGATCGATTGAAGGGGTACTACCCTCCTTCCAAGTTTTTTTTTGCACTAGGACTTAAGCAGAACTTACAAGGGAATGATTTGGAAAGAATAAAGGGAAAGGGAAGAGACTGGGATGTGGGGGGTGGGAGTTTGTGAGCAATTCATAATTACTCTCAGCTATTATTGCTTCTCCAGTCCAGTTGTAATTAGATTCCTCGCTTGAAAGTACTTCTTATATAACTTCTCAGAGCCATTCAGGTTCCTTTCCATCGAACACGCTGCATTTACTACTAGCCAGGATGTTTTGTTTGCAGTTTTATTGTCCATTTCTAGTCATTTTTGTTGAAAAACTTGCTTTCGAACTTGATTTTTATGCTGCAACTGTGATACATTTAGACTTTTTGATCTTACAGCTTTTCGTAGTGTTACAGCATTTCGTAGGGCTCCCATGTTTACTATTTCACTCGTTTTCTTAAGTTCAAGCTGGTCGTTGCTGGTATACCAACCATTCCTCTGTGAGCTTTCCAAATTTTTAAGTGCCTATGCTTGTTATGTTACATGTTGAATAATAAATTTTTGGATTTATTGACCTGTGACATTTCACAACATTGGCGAACGTATTACACGTTTATCTTGGGGCGTTCGATTTCAAACAGTCTATTGATGGTGATATTCAGGATTCAGAATGTTCAAGAAATTCGATGAGAAAGAAGATATAACTGGGGCAACCCAGCTGAAGTCTTCCATTCAGGCTTGTTATTTTTCGGTCGTTGCTTGCGGTCACCGTTGTTCCCATTTATACAATTTCACAATTTTTAGAAAGGAATAAGGAACAAAATTCTCGAGTCATACCCGCATATCGAACCATTTCTAGCCGACATTTTACCAAAGAAGGTGAGTTCTATTAGTATTTGTTGTTCTTCCTTTCGACTGTGATAATGCTGGTGGGCAGTATTTGGTTGATTTTGACTGCTGCTTTTGACCGCACCTGCGATGGAAATGTCATTTTGTTGATACTATGTGCTGGGTGAAGCACATCTGTTTGAATGGGACTTGAACCTCAATATGCTCCCAGAAGTGTACTCACCCATTACGTCAACTACATTTACTGCCGTTGCTCACTCTTAAAGGCTGAGAATGTGAAAAGCTGAAAGCAGTGCTACTCATCTCTCCACTATCTCATTCTCTATGTACCTTTTGACGCGTAAAGTATAAAGACGGCGTGAATAGGACCTCTTTCAGGTTCTTCTGGAGACATGCGCTCGATCCATGACTCAAAATCCTTATGATCATGTTTTTTGTCATTACCTATCCTTAGTGGCGAACACTCTGTCTATTCAGTGGGTGTAGCTAAGTGGAGAGAACCCAAACATTGAATTTCCCTGAAGATTGGGCTTTTCTGGTTCGCAATGAATGCCGTTTTTCTCGCCGAATTCTCGACCATTGGTGGCTCATTTAGTTAGAATTTCATCGCTGGGACATCTTATAGTTGGTCCATTAACTTTTTTTGAATTTCTCTGTAAGACGATAACAAAATTCATAAATTTATGTTAATTATTTTTCCAGGAGAATTTCAAAATGATCAAATGCAAGGATCACGTAGAATTATTGACTGATCATAATGGTGTTGTACAGTTTTTGAAGACGAGAAATACAGAATGGGTTCCCACGCTTCGCCTACTTCACAAGTACCCTTTCATCTTACCTCATCAACAGGTCAGCAGGTTTTCTTGCGTTCTTGTTTTGTTAGTAATTGTGTTTGTACACCGCTAAACAATCAACCATGGCTAGTTGTTGGCTGTTTGGCAGTTGTCCATTCGATTTAGTCAGTTGTATTTTTTTCCATAAATTAATTCATACATGCAGTAGTTCTTGCACCCTACTATTTTCGAATCTACTGTAGTTTTTATGGTTACCTCGATGTCTTGTGGCAGAGGCTCGTTCAGAGAAAGGTTCTGTTAGAGGAAGAGGTGTCCATTGGAAGAGCTCTATACACTGGCCGCATTTGTCCCCTTACATCTTCGAATAACTTCAACCAGCATGATCCTTTCGGGCCCTCTTCGCGGAACATAAAGGAAGGGTCGATGGGGTATGAATCAAGCAGCCAGGCCACGGCTCAGGAATATCGTTTCGAGAATTCATTTTTCCGTGGGATAAGCCATGCTTAGGCGAAGTGTTTAGGCATTACTAGGGAACGATGCTCATGGATTACAACTTAGGAGCAGTGTTCTCTGTTTTCATCGTACTCTGCCACGTGCTCGCCAATTGAGTCCTTTTGTTTGCTGCGAGGTAGCCGAAGACGTTCCTGAAATTGGCTCAGGTGGCGGCAGTGGGTAACTTCCTGAATTTGGCCCGCAAAGAAAGTGTCCTAGTCCTTAACACTTTTGAATTGTGCCGCACTCCATGGCTTTCTTCACTTTCAAACATGTGGAAGTGGCCTGCGAAACGCCTTCTCTGTGCACCTCGATGAAATCTTCACTAAAAACACGGCTCCACCATTAAGGAGACCACTTCATTCAGATGTTTTATGACTTCCCATAAGTCGAAAAATGCATCAGGTACAAAAGCCAGCATAAGCGAATAGATCACCTGTATCACCTGTCGTCCCGTTGATCGTCGATTTGCTCGAGCGGGCGCCAGCAACGTCTCCATTCGTCCCTGTCGCGTGCTAGAGTGGTCCAGTGGATCCTCCTCGCTCGAGGGACACGAAGTCCTTCATTCCTTTCGTTCAGAGCTTTCGTGAAGAAGTCTGACCATCGGGCCGGCGGTCGTCCAGGTGTTCGTTTGACGTCCCGAGGGATCCAGTCGGTAACCGCTCTGGTCCAACGGTCATCGCAAAATCGCATGACGTGTCCGGCCCACCTTATCTTCGATTCCTTGGCGAAAACGGCAGCGTCCCTGATCTTCGATCGTTGGCGTAGTTCCGAA